CAGATTTATGGTTTGCTTAATTTTTTTTCTAACTTAAAGAGTATGCTACCATATTTAGATAGCTATGGTCTACCAAGTAGCTTTCTACTGTTGCAAGAAGAGGCATAAATCCACTTTACATCAGTTATTTGGTGGGACAGAAGGAGAAGGGGTCTTTTGTAGAGTATATTTTCATGTTTTGCACAATTTTGCCTTTGCACTACCCACAGTTCTGTGGGCAAAGCATCCTTGAAGGGAAAGTGCAACAGATCCACAGATCATTCAAGACAAGCAGATTTACAGTTTTAAGCTACCATGTTCCTTTCCTGTCTAAAAATGCTGCAAGGCATGGAAGTTTAAGTGTGAATTAAGGTTGCCTTAAAATGGTGTACATTAATTTGCTTGCTGAAGCTTTTGTGTGTTAGGACCCTTCATAGCAAGTTTGCCTTAACAAATGGCTGAGAAGTAAATAGTTATAAATGGCAAATACTGTTGTCTGTGCGAGAAAGCAACATGCAAAAGCAATTGATATTTAAAAAAAACCCCTAGGGACAGCCAGTTGTATTGTTTGCCTTTAATACTATGGACCTCATTAAACAATCTCACTCCCTACCATTGTAAGTAAAATGCACTTTATGCTTTATCATATTTTCCATATGAAGCATAGGGCGGGGGAGGAGAGGGTGTTCAAACTTTTTCTCTCATGACCCAGTTGCAGAAAATTGTTGATGCCTGTGACCCAACATGATTTGACTAGAGTGTGGGCTCCAGGGTGGGGCTGAGGATGAGAGCTTTGGAGTGTAGGATGGGGCTCTAGTCTTGGGAGTGTCAGGGCTATGGCATGAGGGGCTTACCTTGAGCAAAACCCTGTAGTCTAGACACACCCTTGCTCACAACACACCTGTTAATGCATCCCAGAATCATGTTTGCTTCTGGGGTGGGGGGGGGGGGGGGAGCAGAGCAGGAAGGGCTTACCTTGAGCAACTTCCAGTCAGCAAGGCATCGGGGGTGCTAAGGAAGGCTCCCTGCCTCTCCTGACACTGCAAACCATGCTGCGCCCCAGAAGCAGTCAGCAGCAGGTTCCTAGCCAGTGAGTGTGTGGAGCTATTACTCAGGGCAGGGGCATGGGCAGTGTGTGGAGCCCTGTGCTGTCTTCCCCCCACCTGCAGAAGCCAGGCCTGCTGCACAATTTCCGGTGCCAGGACAGGCAGACAGCCTGCCTTAGCACTCCCACTGGCCACCTGATCCCCCTGCAGCAATGAGACCCAGTGGCTGACATTCCACGACCCAGTACTGGATCACGGGACTCATAGTTTGAAAACCACTGGTATAGAGAATGCCACAGACTTCTAAAGTAATACGGAAACCAAAATTACTTAGTTATGACTCAGTAAGGCAATGCTACAGGTTTCTCTTGTTTTTAGTATAGGGAAAAATAAGTGGCTAAGAGTATTTTCTCAGATAGCATTATGTAGTAATTTTTAGCAAATAGTGTAAAAAGTGTCAATGTTTTTAAAAGTGTCCATTATTGATATATTTTCATGAAAATTTCAGGAATGAGATTGCAGTATTAGGAACTTCATTTTGCTGGTGCTGTTAAGCAAGGCTAGGATGCCTCATTCCTCAGGTGCAAGGTTTTGTTTTCAGGGTTTTTGTTTTTTGGAATTGTATGATACCACAAGACTGATTCTATACAGTCTACCAGCAAGCATCAGGAACATAAACAGTAGTAACCAATAGCAGAGCTAGCCCAGGACCAAATGCCCACCCCCCACCTCCGAGGCAAGGAGCATCTTCAGTGCCACCTCCAGGTGGCGAAAATGTTTCATATCTTATTTTGGACTGGATTTGAATTTATAACTTTGTACAATTTAGACACATGATTTATTCCTGTCATATAGGATGATAAATTCCTCTTCTATCTCTAAGTAACAAAAACAGCACCCTGAGCCTTGGCACCCCTGCAAATCTGGTTGCCTGGGTCACCTTCCTCTAAATCTAGTCCTGCCCGGTAATTCTAGTGTTTAGTCATCTCTCTTTGCCTCTGTCTAGTTTCTTAATAATATACGCATGTCTTTGACGTTTGCAGTACTTAACTTTCTCAGTTGGTATAGTATAATTAATTCCAGTACATGATGTACTACCAAATTTTCCTGTGTCACGTCTAGATGAAATTGTTACTAACCTCTGACGGTTTTAAAGATTTAAAAAAAAAACATACTGGCTTAGTCAGCATGAGGAATTTATGCTAAATGCTGTGTCTAAGTTATTAATAATATCGTCTCACCTACAGTGGGCCAAATTAATGTCATATAGGGGTCAAATTCCTTTGACTTTAGTGGAGTTGCAGCCATTTTTTTCCTGCACTGAATTTGCCACTGTCTGAGTGATAAATCCTTTGCTCCAAATCTCTCATGGTCAGTATCATTCCATACACATTCTGAGATCAGGAAAATGTTAAATGACGAAAAGGAGCTAAGTTTGATTTTTTTAATATGTGACAGAAACAGGATCTCAAGACATATCAAGGCTGAATTTATGTTCTCAGTTACGTTCTTCACTCTGAATGGTATCAACAGCGTTGCTAGAGTTTAACTGAGGGCAGAATTTGCTCCATAAGGTATCCAAGTACTGTAGAAGATAAATATAGTGCTCAGTCATATAGACTAGGTTGCAAATCTTCCAGGAAATCTTTTGGAAGCTCTTTAAAATATTAGTGTGCAAATTACATACAGTATACACTAAATGGAAACCTTGCAGCATACCTCTGCAGAAGAGCGTGTCTCTAGGGGTATGTCTATACTAGCCCACAAGTTTGAACTAGGGAGGCTAATGAGGGCGACCAAAATTACTAATGAAGCTCGGGATTTAAATATCCCGCACTTGATTAGCATATTCCCGGTCGGTCGCCGTTTTGGAATCTGACCTCATGAGGTTTAACAGTTAATTCAAACTAAGGGGTTTATCTCAGAATCGTGCTTCTCTGCCGTGTGTAAACGCGGGCAGTTACTTCGGGCTAGTCAGTTTCCAAAAAATGGTGACTGGCCAGGAATATGCTAATCAAGTGCGGGATATTTAAATCCCGCGCTTCATTAGCAATCTCGGTCATCCTCATTAGCCTCCCTTGTTCAAACTAGGGGGCTAGTGTAGACGTACCCTAGGAAAAGTAGGGTAAACCTGTTAAAAAACATCATATAAGAGAACCTGCTAGTGCTAATTGGTATCTCCAAAGATATTTATTATGTTAAAGGGGGCATGTGATTATAAGCAAGTTTTTGTCTATAAAAGGTTTCCCCCAAAGACTCTAAATTGTTTTACAGAAATCTTCAAATTTTGTAAAAGCTTTTAAAATAGTAATTGCAGAGACATTTGATGATTTTTGATGATTGTTCCTACATAAAGAAAGATGCAATCTCCATCTGGAGAAACCAAAACTGATGGTAGTAGGGGCGGGGAATTTGTATGGTGTATATAAAAATCTGCACTAGTTAATCCTGGTTGCAGAAATTTTAAGATACTGCAGAAAACATGTGTCTCCTTCTTCTACTTCCCTAATTCTAGAGTAGATATATTATTTACTGTCTAAATTAATAGCAGAATACTCTGCTGTGGGGAGAAATTGGGATTTGACCATCAAAGAATGGTTTGCATATTTAAACTCCACATTTTTACAGTGTGCTGCAAGATACTCTGTGTTGGAAGACTGTAAGTTTTGCTTTTTTATAGGTGCAAATTATACCTTCCTAAATCTATTTCAATAGTATTTAAGATGTTTTCCCCAGGATTTTTGCTCACTTCTGGGTCTTTTTTTAATGTTTAATATCTAAGGAGAAAAATGTTCCTATTGTTAATGCCGTGTGTCACATTTTAAGAAAATGTTAATTTATCACATGCATGTAAAAAGTTGTGCTCATTTGGGTGGTCCACAGCTTCAGCCTATTATTATTTTTTAAATAATTTTATGTCTGGGATATGTGTGGCCTTTTGATTGATGACATGCAGAAAAAAGAATGCAAGTGACTGTCAGCATGTTTTGCATTTGGAGCTGAACTTTGAGGACCCTCCCTCCAAATCTGAGTAGTGCCTTTACGTCATTAGACATAACCTGCGCTATCAGTTTCCGTGTTTTTAATTAACAAACTCCCAGTTTCCTCCCTTCTGATGCAACTTATGCCTCTCTGCTTGTTTCACACCCACTCTTTTGTTGCTTAGGAGTGCCAGAATAGTGCATGCTGCATATATATACACAGGCTTTCAGTTATAATATTAGCCTCTGCTATACTGCCATAGAAGAATACCAGGGACAATCCTATTAGTTTTTGAGCAGGAAAGAAGTTACTGTTCTTATTAACTTCTTTTATTATGGGAGGCAGTGACTGAAAAAAAACAACTTGGTCATGGTGGATAATCAGATGAATCGGAATTCCCAGTATGATGTTGGGGCAAAAGAGTCCATGTATAAACAGTGAAATATTGAACAGATATAGTTTATATTTCCTCTGTATTTAGCACTGATGTGACTGTTACTTCAGTACTAAGTCCAGTTCTGGTGTTCACAATTGAAGGAGACTGAAAAACTGGAGCAGGTTCACAAAAGAGCCACAAGGCTGGGCCCACGACAGGCAGAGGCTGTTTGGGCTGAGCCTAGCACACCATGGGTGTGCTTGTCTGAGCCTCCAGTTAACGGGTAACCAGCAAAAAGGTGTACCTAGCAAAAATAGGTCTCAAAATTTGGGTTTTGCATTATAGTTGTATCCATATTGCTACATAAATGCAGGGTATAAATTGTCAATATTCATGGTCCTGTATGCAGTGCTATCTCACATTTTTCCATCAGAGTCTACACTCCAAAATCTTAACGTTTTAATTATAGATTGTCACCTTTAGGTTAGATTTATCATGCTTCACAGTTTTAACCATGACTCTGGTTATTCCAACCCAAGGACAGGCTTCACTGTGCAGTAACTAACACTGTGCAGCCAGATCCCATTCTTATGTTGTTGGGTTTTTTTAATTTTTAGCCTGGATGTGTAAACACTACTGAAGTGGATATAAAAAAGTCTTCAAGAATGAAAAATCCTCACAAAACAAGAAAGGTAAGTACCGTGTTTGAAGAGAAAGTGGTACATTTTTCCAATTTGTTTTGTTCCCTAATTGTTGTTTTTTAATATGGCTGAAATATGTAAAACCTCATTCCATAGCCTGTTGTGACTTGAAACTGCTAATTAGTCATACAGTTTCTAAAAATTAAGAGATCTGCTTTTTCTTCATATGCTTTCTTCCAAGAGTACTGAGGACCTGCAGTGTCTGTGATTCACTCATAATAAAACCTTACAAGAACTTTCCCAATTTAACTGACCTGAACAAAATATGTTGTTTGCAAATGTAAATTCCATGGTCTCAAGGAATCCCTCAGGAACACAGACAGGGACAAAAAGTATAAAAGCCTCATATTTAGCAGTATACAACATATTGCCAGCATGTTGCTCAGTATATTGCATGGTACATACTTAGTACCCCACTTACCATTTTTCTATCAGTAGTTAAAGGGAAAACATAGTGAAAATGCCCACAGAATTTTCACTTTAAGTACAAACATGGAAGAAAAATAATAGTAGTAATGGATACCTGCACTTCCTTGAAGGCAAAGAAAAACTCTTCTTTAGAATAAAAATGAAAGCCTTGAAACTTTGGATGAAGTGGATTTGAGATACCAAACCAATTTTACAAATTGCCCGAGTCTAAACCCTAGATCCATTGCCCGAGTCTATACCCCAAATTCAGCCCTAAATTGCAAGGCATTCCAGATCCAGAGTTGGATCCCGGGTCTGTACATTGAGCCCATCCTTGATCTCAAGTATCACTTTGGAATTTGATTATCATGCTGTTTCATGGTGATGTTCTCAATCTGAAGGAAGACTGGATTTGGAGATGCCATCCGCACAATTTGATTGCATCAGTGAAAGGTCCCAGGCATTAGTTATTTATCAAGCACCTGGCACACACTTGGTACATGGCAATGTACCTCTCAATTTCCTGTTCCATCTCTTCCATGTCAACCACCTCCACCCACTATAATATCTCCCCTACTGGGTCATATACTAATGCTTGCTACATGCATATAGACAGCACATAGATAGTGCTAGGCAAAAAATCCTACATCATCAAGAAATAGCACAATTTTTTCAGAATTCTTTATTTTATCTCGCAGTAGTGTGTTTCAATGTATGGCATATTTACAGTGCTTTTGAACACTGATGCAAGGCTTGTGAAAACACAGAGGTAGCTAACTTTTCGAATACATTATACAAAATATATAGTGGTTATTTGTATGCCTGAGATAAACAGTTTTTTATAAACAAATGTCTTTCTTTCCATGCTGTTGCATAGTCTGTCTATGGATTACAAAATGACATTCGAAGTCACAGTCCTACCCACACACCGGTACCAGAAACTAAGCCACCCACAGAAGATGAATTACACGAAGAGGTTTGAAAAAACTATTATAGACTTTTAAATAAATCATTCTGGAAAACAAAAATTAGAACAAAAAGTTACCATAGCTGTCCAGTATATTTATTTAGCATTTTAATTAGGTTAGTTACATGTTTAGCATAAACAATGTTTGAGAATATATTTCTTCTCATCTTAGTATGTGGAGATATATGCATAACTTTCATTAAGGATAATAGGAGTAACACAAACTTTGTTTAGCCTTTGTTAACAGAGGAAGGCTTTACCAATAACACTGTTTGTATGTTCTTTTTGTAGGTAAATGTATCAGCCTTTTTGCAGTGACCAGTTCACTCACTCTCTTTTCCAACACTTCACTTTGAGATTTGAGAGCATAATTGCATCTCAGTGTGTGTGGATTTACTCACATATTGCCATTAACACTTAATTAATCTTTCACAGAGCAATGGAAGTGGTAAAAAGTAGATGACTAGGAACAATTAATGGGCTTCTCTGTAAACATTAAAACATTATTTTGATTTCTGTTCACAAACTTGTAGGAAAAACGTTAGACTTGTCCGTATATAACTTACTATAATTTCTTTATTTAACAGAGAGTTCCATCCACTTTAAGAAATGTGATGATACTATGTCATTATAGCTCAGATACACTTCTCTGTCATTTAGGAAAATTCAATTTACAATGTTCCCCTAATAAACATTTCTGAAAATAGAGTCAAACAAGAAATCCTCATTCCACTTTTTGCCTTCCCTTTTTTTTTTCAGATAAAATATTGGCAAATACAGTTAGATAGACATCGATTAAAAATGTCAAAAGTTGCAGAGAGGTACGTATCTTGTTATATTTTCTATTTTTTAAATGATCTAAGAAATATATGGAAAATTTCTGTGAGGAGGAGCCAGAGAGGAGACAACAATGGAGCTGGGACATGTTACTCAAATTGATTGAAGACAGTTTACTTTGAGCGAAGGCATGTCTATTTTCTGATTCACTAGTAGGCTGTGATTTAATGCCATTTTTCTCAGTTCAGTGAAACAAACAAACAAAAACGGTGAATTTAGAATGAAGTGGTGGCCCTATCATGTAACTGCTTTGTGCACTGAGCTCTGGTGTTGTTTACCCTAGGACGGACAAGTGCTCCTGTTTTTCAGGGCCAGTGTAGAGAAAGTCTACAAAATTCCTAATGTAGATGTAACCCGCTGGTTATTGTATAGCGCATGAATCCATTTTGCCCTGTGTACAGAGGTCATGTCTGTTACAGCTCCGAAGTAGAGTCTGACTCTTTATTTTCAGCTGTTCTCCTAGTTTAGTCCCTAGTATTGGCTGTTTCACAATCACCTGTTGAAGTCATCGGGTACCGCTTCTGGTGCTGATAATTTTTTGTGGGTCTGCAAGGCATTTTTTTGTATCGGAACATTGTACTATGTTCATTCCCAAGAAATTTAAAAAAAAGATTTCTGTTCCATCCTTTTTCCCCTCCCGCCATCATTAACTGACACTTATCCTGCATGATCTCACCCCACTCTGCATTAATTCTGACGGAACAATCCAGTTTTGTAAGTAAATTTGGCAACTATATCTTCCAGAAAGCCAGGACTATCCTCAGTTTCAGAATATATGCCTGTTTTAGAGAAACCATGATTTGTCATGTCTTTTTTCAACCCCTGTAGTCTGGCCACCTAAATAAGCCACAACACATCTGAGCTGGTGAATCAGGCAGCAGATTGCGTGACAACACCTACGCAGATCAGGGACCTATCCCCAGATTTAGTTGCACAATAATGTTATCACCTTGTCTCCATTAAGCCTCCCAAGGTGCATCTACACAACAGCATTATTCCGAAATAACAATGCGAGCATCTACACAGCAATTCCGTTATTTCGAAATAAATTAGAAAGGACAGCTTATTCCAACTTCTATAAACCTTATTCCACGAGGAATAACATCTCTTCTGAAATTGCTATTTCGAAATAGCTCTAGTGTAGACTCTCAACTGTGCTATTTCAAAATAGCTCCTCCCCAGAGCCATTCAGAGTAATTACTCACTAGTGCTTCATGGGTCTCTAAATCGAGGTAGCATGTCCACATTAGAAGAGCCTGCCTTGCACTAATTTTGAGGCTTCTCTGCAGTGTAGACGTGCTATTTCAAAATAAGTTATTTTGGAATATTTCTTTTGGAATAGCTTATTCCGAAATTAATGTACACAGTAGTTGTACCCCTAGTGAGCTCCCATCTGAAGGCAGCACTTCCTGACTCACAATCAGAAACTGTACAATTAGTTTTTTATTTCAACTTCTCTGTACCTTATTTCAACCTCTCTTCACCTCACTTGCCTCATCTATTCAATCAAGCTATCACCTGATAAATGGAGTGCATATTAGACATTATTCATTCATGCCTTTGAAATTCTTCAGTGAAATTCCATGTAGAAATGTATTAGTAAAGGTTGCAGTTTATTTTATTTCAGCCCTTGATAAAATAGTAGGCACTGTCCTACCACCACCATAGCTTAAATAGTTTACTTTTAAAAAACAGGTTTCTTGTTATAAAGCTTGATAATATAACAATGTTTGATGGTTTTGTTTTTCTAGTCTTTTAGCTTACACAGAGCAGTATATCGAATATGATCCGTTTCTTGTGTCGCCTGACCCCTCTAACCCTTGGCTATCTGATGACACTACTTTCTGGGAATTAGAGGCCAGGTATGTTGTTTCTTTTTTTCTTTTCACATTATCAATGTCAGTGCAGATTTCAACCCTACGTTCTGCAGCACAGTGTTGAGGTAGATAGGAAAGAGGATTCCCATGCATACCAATTTGTCCTGGTCTTTTCAGCTGTCCAGTTTCATGTTGTTAGAGATGGACTCATATACCTGCCTGAAAAAGTACAGAGGCCACCGTGGCCAATATACAGGGTTCCACTGGGAAGAGGACACACCCCACACACATTCCTATGTTATATTGATTGACTGAGTGCTTGGCACTGACCATTAAATCTCTGTATAACAACACTCTACAAGCCCAAGTGACTTGGAAAGTGAGAAATCTGTAGCTAAACTCAGGCCTTCCCATCATTACTTGCGAACACAACGCTAAAGTGCTCGCTCAATCTGTGACTGCTTTTATTTGTTGTCCCCAGCAAAGAGCCAGGACAACAGAGGGTAAAGCGATGGGGCTTTGGCATGGATGAAGCATTGAAGGACACAGTGGGGAGAGAGCAGTTTCTCAAATTCCTGGAGTCAGAATTCAGCTCGGAAAACTTAAGGTAAAGCTGAAGAATTTTTATCTTTTTACAACAGCTGAGAAATGATTTTTGTGTCCGTTGTCATTCTTTGTATTTTTCTCCCTTGCAGATATAGTCCCATTTCTTCTCCTGAAGGGACCAATCCTACAAAGTGTTGCATGCCCTCATTTTCCAATGGCTTTGAGTGTTAATGGGGCTCAGGCCAACACCAACAAAGATGTCAATAGTCAGCATTCATAAACATACTGACTAGTGGGGTCCTTTCCCAAATCTTCAAATATGTGCCTTAGAAACACTGACCAACTCCAGGCTATTGTTTGTCTTTTAAGATGTGCAGCATTATAAGGACAGCAAATTTACAGTGGAAAATTTTCAAATGCAACCAAGGGGTTTAGGAATAAAAGTCCCATGGACTTTAGGAAATCTTCCCCTCAGTGGTTAAAAAGAATTATACAATTATCTTAATTCTTAAAGGAGGTGAAACGTGGTATAATGGATGTACAAGTTTTTTAAAAGCATGTAAATCTCCAAGCAGCTTCTCTTTATTGCACAGTAAAGGTGCTGTGTGTGTGTGTAGGGCCACTTGTCAAATCTATTTATTTCTACAGGTTGAGTCTCTGTAAACCAGTACTGTCTGGTCTGGCAACATCCTGGTTTGGCAGAACCACGGATGTTCCAGGGTCAGAGAATCTAGGTGGAGCGCTGGTGCCGAGGAGCCCTGCCAGCTATCAGGGCTTCCGGGAACAACCCAGCTGGGCCGCATAGTGGGGCCAGAAGTGCGGTGTTCTGCAGTGGGACTTCCCAGCACTGGGAGCTGGGCTGCTCAGTGTTATTGGCAAAACGAGGAGGGCGGGGTGGGGGGAGCAGTGGGGTCTCCAGCTAGTCCAGGGCTGGGATGGGGAAATAGCAGAGGGACCAGATATGACCTTCACCCAGGACTGGTCAGGTCCTGAGGGTGCCAGACCAGGGAGGTCCAACCTGTAGTTTAAAACAAGATTTCTTGAAAACAATATCAGAAAAGGCCTATTCCTCAGTATAGCATTATAGCCAAATTATTGGCAAAAGCCATTTATGATTGTTGCACTTCCAGAGAAGCCGTTTTAAAGCTTTTTGCACGTGAAAAGGACTTACCAATAGGTATTAATGTTTTGGTCTTCTGTTGCCCCCAAAAGTTAATTTTTGCTTCTCAAAAGTATGTACATCAAAACCTCATCCTCAAACTAAGTTCTTGTGCTTTCACCCACACATCCCTTTTCAGTACCCAGCTGCAGGCCTGCTGATGGAGGGAGAAGGGGGGAAGGAAAGGGGTAAAGTGGGCAACTGCTTCAGGAGCCCAGGCGAGCAAAAGGGCTCTAGGACCCCCAGCCATTGCCAGCGGAACTACCGGGCTCAAGCAGCCTTCTTGTCCGGCCTGGATCTGAGCCAGTCCTGGAAGTGGCTGGCACATCCCTGCAGCCCCCCAAGAAGGAGGGGGAGATCTCCACATGCTGCCACCACCCCGAGTGCCAGCTCCCATTGGACTTCAGCTAACAGGAGTTGCAGGGGCAGTACATGCAGGCAGCTATGCATGGAGATTTCCTGACCCCACACGCTAACAGCTGCTTCCAGAGTGGTGTACCAGTCACTTTCAAGAGCCACCCAAACTAAGTGCCACCCCCCTCAAACTCTCCTGCACCCCAACTTCCTGCCCCAGTCCAGAGCCCGCATTCAAACTCCCTCCCAGAGCCCACCATCTGCACCCCCTCCCACGTCTTCTCCCCCCCAGAGCCTTCACTCTGCCCTCCCACAAACTGTAACCCCCTTCCCCAGCCCAGAGTGCACACCCCACATCCAAACTCCCTCCTAGATCTCACCTCTTACCCTCTCCTGCACTCAAACTCCCTCTGAGACCCTGCATCCCTCACTCCCTCCTGCACCCCATTTCCTGCCTCAGCCCAGAGTCTGCACCCTACGTCCAAAATCCCTCACAGAGCCCACATCCTGCACCCCCTTCGACACTCCTCACCTCCTTCCCCAGCCTGGTAAAAGTGAGTGAGGATATGGGAGAGCGAGTGACAGAGAGCGGGGGTGGACGGTATAGGTGGCAAGGCCTCTAAGAAGGAGTGGGATTGGGGTGTGGGTTCAGGGAAGGGGCAAGGCAAGATCTTTGAGTTTTCATGATTCGACAGTTGGCAACTCTACCAGGGAGGCACATGGAAGCCCTGGCCATGCTGGAAGAGTGTGCCCAGTAGTACAACCTCCCACTTGATGAACACCAGCCAGCACTGGCACAGCACTGCTCAAATTTTAACCAGACCATGTCCACGTGGGTGTGACTTGTGTGTGCATGGAGCCCATTGACTTTTCGTCCCTCAGGCCTGGAATTGTTGTCCTTGGAGTGCCCAGGTGAGACTCCCTTAAAAATGAGATGCACCATACACCTAAGCATTCTGGAGAGACCCTGGTTTTGTGCCCTATTTTGAGCACCCTAAGTTGCTAGAGATGGGGCTACATAGCTCTGAAGTTATTCCAAACTTACACCAGAGGAACTGGGGGCAGAATATTCCATGCTACTGGGCATTGTTTTGTCATACTGTATTTAACAAATTCAAAGCTTGGAGATCTGTAATATTACATCTGGATTTAACGTCTAAAAATCCTTATTTAGGCAAGTTATGGAACAATTTTGGGTCAAAAATATAAATGAAATATTCTGGACTCTATCCTGTTCCCAGCGGTTGTTTTGCATTGATCTCAAAGGGAATAAGATCGGAATCAATGTGTGTGTTGCTAAATAACATATTAGGCAGCAATTTCTGAATTCGAAAAGCTAAGTGCTAATTAAAGGGCAAACCTTTTATCAGCCCAGTACAAAGGAATGGGAAGGTATATTTTTATTTAAAAAATGTCTCAGTAATTCCTTATTTGAGGCAGCTGTTCAAACATGGACCTGTTCAGCCCTAGCATATGTTTTCTACACTTTTCTATGACTAATTTGTCTTTCTGCCAACCAGACTGTTACCACATAATCCCAGGCTCTTTTCTCTAATCCTATTTACAACACTAACCACAGACAAACTGCAAGTAACTGATCCAGAAAAATACCCTAGAGGATTTTGTTTGGAGCTAATTTCTCAATATTATATCTACCATTATATCTATCTAAGTTTGTATATTGGCATAATAACACATGATGTCAGACTGGCAATGGCAATGGGTGCCAAATAAAAAGCTACACCTGTGATAAGTTAGAGAGCATGCTTTTTAACGTCTTATATGTACAAGCCTCAAACTGCCACCAATTGGAGTGATATGAATAAAATGCACTTTTGACACAGTAATTCCATTCATAATTAAGAATTAAGTACCAAATGATGTACAATGGTGCACTTAAAAGTGTCAGCATCTTCTGGAATGCTATAACAACTCAGTTTTGATTTGTTAAATTTAAGAACACTGACCTACTTACACAGTTATTAACCACATAACTACAGCATTTGTAGTTTGCAGGATTTGACAGCATCTTTCCAATACTGAGATAAGGGGATTTGCTTCCATCAGTAGCTCCTTAGTTTAGTGATGTGACTAACATAACTTCACATGTAAGTTTATCAGGCATCGTCCCTTTGCAGATTTGACCATGATTGAGTTTAAAACGAGTGCCATCCAAGCTGGAGGAGTAGCAAACAGATGGAACTACAGTGCCAAGCTGTGAAATATTCCGTAGAAAGTACAATAGTGGGTGTCAGACAGTGAGGAAACATTCACAACCAGTGTAACTCCCTGTGACCAGGTCAATGGAAAAAAATGGAGGAGATACAAAAAGAGGATGTAATCAAAGAGCCACACTCATTACATTAAAATATATTTCTTTTCATCTGTATAGCATTCATACTGCCAATTTTACTTTTTCTATGTCCTTGAGTTGAGACGGGTGGAATCAGGATTGGTAATGGGAGTGGTTAGGGTGCCATCCTGGGACTCAACTGATGTAGGTTCAATTTTCTGCTTCAGCACATCCGTGTGATCACTTTGCTTTCCTATTTGTAAAATAGGAGCAATGTATTTCCCTACCTCACGGTGAGGGGGAGTGTGTTGTGAAGATTAATAATTAAAGACTGTGAGTTGTTCAGTTGCTACAGTCATGGGGGGAGCCATGTAAGTACCATTAATTAATAAAACATCATACTGTACTACTTAGGTACAGAGGCAGCTCAACTGGACAAGAGACATCCCCAGTCAATGTGACTACTCATTGGTTCCCTCTTGCTCTTCATTCAACTAAGATTTCTTGGGAAAAATTCTGGTCAGGGTGATTGGCACTGTAGCCTCTATACAGGTTATGGGTTTTTAGAGGAACATTTAACTCAGGAGGCTCACAAAACTGCTCCTCTATGCATCAGGCCTACACTATTACACTCTGCTTAGCAATCATCCATTGAGAGCGAGTCCTTTTGGAAGTGTTGCTTTTTGCCTGATTCAGTGTGACTATTACAGTAACACAAGAGTTGGCAGTATCATTTTGCAAAGTTCCTAGCTCCTGTTAGGAAGTGAAGAACTATACTTGAAATACAGATGCTTAAATTTTAACATGATCCAGTACTCCTAAGGTCCCGTCCTACAAAGCTCCCTCCAGACTAGGTACCCAGCTAGCATACAACAGGTATGCTCTAGTACCTTTGGCCAATGGGTGGTTGTATTGCATTGCAACTAAGTAGGAGCCTGTGAGGCTATGTCTACACTATAGGCTTCTTGCACAAGAAGCTTTTTGCGGAAGAGATCTGCAAAAGCGCATTGGAAAAGTGATGCACTTTTGCGAAAGAGAGCGTCCAGTCTGCATGGATGCTCTTGAAAGAAAACTCTGATTGCTGTTTACAAAATGGCCACCAGGGCAGCTGAGCTTTTTTCGATTGCCCCTTTTTGCACAAAAAAACCCCTTCTTCCCCGTCCACACACACCTTTTTGTGCAAGAGCTCTTGTTCAAAAGGAGTTATTCCTTGTAGAAAGAGGAATACCTATTGCGCAAAACTCCCTCTGCTCTTTCGATTTTTTTGCACAAAAACGTGCTTGAGGTGTGGACGTTCTATGAGTTTTTGTGGAAAAAGGCCATTTTTCTGCAGAAACTCTGTATTGTAGATATAGCCTGAGTTCTAGTTAGGGTTCTTCCATTAATTGTGTTCACTCTCCAATGGGTCCTGGTTGTCAGTAGGTACTATTGGACCTAGCATCTTGGAGGCTAAAGTCATGTGCTTCTACTGCATTAGCTAAAAGCCAACTGCCTCTTAGCTAAGGCTGTAGAGCAGACTTCACTCTCCCTTTTTCAGTGTTCTCCGTGCCTCTGGGTTACCTAGTATGTTGTTTCCCTATAAATCAATTTTTTCCCTTGTTTTTATGGATTCTGGAAGTATTTAATTGCAGGTTTACATATTGCTTGTCCTACAGAACCCTTGCTTTATTCACTGCACCTGAGTGACAGTGAAGCAGAGGGTTAGAAGAAAAAGAAAGGATATTCTCTTGAGGTTAAGGCATTGCACAGAGACCCTACAGGTCTGCATGCCAACCCTTGCTCTCTTTGATTTCCTTTGTGATAGTTAGCAAAACCAATACTCATTCACAAGGCAGTACCTTTAATGCTTAACTCTTCTGAGGGAAGAGGGTATACATTTTGTTTTGAAAGATCAGTAAACAAATTAAAATGTGAAAATATGTGTCTGCAGTGAAATAATCTTTCTAGCGTAGCATATTGCAGATCTCAACACATTTTTTTAATTTAAAAAGGTTTCTACAATTACAGTCTCACCGTTTCTGCAGGATTTTTGGAATACTAATGTTAGACATGTAAAATAAAAATTAATCTAACGTTACTCGGCCTCATGAAGTGTGTTTGCTCTGTATAGCAAAAAGCTTTACTGGGTACTATTATTTATACTTGCTCAAAATACCAGCACAAGGGACAGGCAATGATATTGAAAGGGGACAAATTTAAAGCCGGTAAAAGGAAATATATTTTCAGACAACATGCAATTAACATGCAAAGTTCACAGCCAAAAAATACAGCTGAGCTAGGAGCTTAGTAAGATTCAAAAGATTAGACCTGTCTATGGATAACAAGAGATTTGGCCCAATGAATAGAGGTGAAGCAGTAGATGTGATGTAACCTCATTTTAAGAAGGCTTTTGACACAGTCCCACGTAATGTTCTCACAAGCAAACTAGGGAAATTACTATAAGGTGGGTGCAAAACTGGCACAAAGAGCATACTAAAAGACTAGTCATCAATGGATTTCAGTCTAGTGGGGTCCCAGTGGACTGTCCTGGGTTCATTAGTGATCTAAGGGTAAGGCATCAGTGTCTGGCACCTGGGATTGTGGGTTCACGTCCCACCCCAACCAGCTAGGCAGCAACCATGAAATTCCATGGGGCTGGAGCCAGCAGAGGTGGGTAGCTTGCTCTGGGGCTGCGGTTCTGTACCATTTCATATTTTCATTAATGACTTGGGAAATGGAGTGGTGAGTAGGCTGGTAATATTAATAAATGATGCCACACTGAGAGGGCTTGCAAGCAATTTGGAGGACAGGATTAGAATTCAAAAGGACCTTGACAGATTGGACAATTGATCCAAAACCAACAAGATTAATTTCAGTAAAGACAGTGCAAAGTACTACCCTCAATCAGGGAAACTCAAATGGATAACTACAAAGTGGGGAGAACCTGGCTAGATAGTAACACTTCTGAAATGGATTTTGGAATTATAGTGGATTATAAATTGAATCTAAGACAACAACATAATGTTAAAGGCTGGAATGTATTAACAGGAGTGTGGTATATAAGACGTGGGAGATAACTATCTCACTTTAGTCATCATCCTCAGCTTGAGTACTGTGCCACACTTTAAGAAAGTCCATAGGAGAGCAACACAAATGAAAAAAAAGGTTTTAAAAACCTAACCTATCAAAAAAAGTTTTAAAAACTGGCAAATTTAGACTTGAGAAAAGAAGACTGAGGTGGTGCTGGTGGGGGTGGGGTTTGATAACAGTATTCAGATATGTTATGGGCTGTTTTAAAGAGGATTGGTTGTTCTCCATGTTCACTAAAGGTAGGACAAGAAATAATGGATTTAATCTGAAGCAAGGATAAGGATAGTTAAGATCTGGAATAGGCTTCCAAGGCAGGTTGTAGAATCCCCATTTTTGGGTAGACAGATACCTGTCAGGATGACTAGATATACTTGGTCCTGCCTCAGCACAGAGGGCTGGACTAGATGACCTCATGAGGTCCCTTTTAGGCAGACATTTCTCTGTGAGCAGATTACCTTGTAGAATTTCTTGCACTTTCCCATGAAGCAGTTGATGTTCGTCACTGCCTAATTTAGAATAATGGACGAGATTGACCACTGATCTGAGCCAGTATGTCAACTCCTATACAGCAACTATATCATCCTAAAGTAAAATTCATGGCTACAATTTTGCTCATGGTTGTGCAGTGTTTCTGTGATGTCTGTGAAGCAGATTTCACATTGTTACGAACTGTGCTAATGAGAAAAGGCCATGTGAAACTGGTTAAACTGGAACCTTAGAAAGAAATTAAACTTAGAATTCCTTTTTCCATATTTTGCCATAGATTCTGGTTAGCAGTTGAAAATCTGAAGAAGAGACCTAATCGTGAAGTACCTGTTCGAGTCCAGGAGATCTGGCAGGAGTTTCTTGCCCCTGGAGCTCCCAGTGCCATCAATCTTGACTCAAAAAGTTATGACAAAACCCAACAGAATGTAAAGGACCCAGGAAGATACACATTTGAAGATGCTCAGGTCAGTATATAATCTTCATCCAGGCATTCTATAAAGTATAGCACCAGTCCAGGCCTGCCTCCAGGGGATGGAGGAGAAAGGGAACAGCTGCCTTGGGGGTCCGGTGATTCCAGCTCCTGGCCACTGCTGTTGGTACTGTAACGTGGTGGAGGTCGGAGCTCCAAGCCCTTTAAATCAGTGTTTCTCAACTTTTTTAATTAAGTATCCCTTAAAAAAAAAAAAAAAAAACCTACCCCCCGTGCCTACATTTTTCAGACACACCATTTTTTTCTACCATTGTAACACATTTGTTTAAACAACTTAATCGTAGCTGGGCGGGCGATAAAACGTTTGAGTGTAAAAAGTACAATAATAATAAAGCACTGTAAAACTTAAAACAAAAATTCAATTTTCTCCAAATTTTAGTTGTGCTGATGTACACCCCAGACGTCTCTCGAGTACTCCTTAGGGTACTCGTACCACTGGTTGAGAAACACTACTTTAAATCACCATCAGAGCCCCGGGTAGCATACTCTGGCAGCTCTGAGTGTTAGCTTGGGAGGGGAGGGGGTGTGGTATGGCATGCTCCAGGCAATGTTAAGGGCTGCATTTACTCAGTTTGCAATGTAGGACTTTCACTTTTGAGTTCATGCGCTAGGCCAATGTTGTTATGCTAGGATTTCCCTATACTATGAGAGAGGGTTTAAATTATTGTGTAAACCGGTTTCATTGAATGCTTGCAAACTTATATTTCCATCCAGGTTGGTTTTTGTCACCCCTCCCATCCCAACTGTATAAAACAATGCTGGATTAGAAGTTAGACTACTTTATCTTTTAGCCCTTCAGCTTTTAGGGCTTTTGCTGAGAATTGTATTTCTGAGCATTCTCTTGCTCTCTAGCAGATGCCACTGCACACAATCTGCTCAGCACACTTTAGTATGCTGCCTCCTGTACCACTCAGGTTTGGCCCAGATTTCCCTCTGTCATAACAGATGGGTAGCCAAGCCAAATCTGCTACCCTGGGCAGCTGCCCAGAAATCTGAAGCTCTAGGAAGTTGCAAGGTTAGATATAGCTAGAGTCATATTTTCTCTGTAGATACTTGTAAACTCTGCAGGGCATGACTTCGGATGCATCTGAAGAGTACTTGGGGCATAATCTTGTGACCCAGTTCATAGGTTCATAGAGTAATGCCCTTCGATCTCATCTAAGTGTCCTTAATTCCAAAATAAGTACATTAAATTGGATTTATGGCTGAATACGTATCAGTAACGTAACGGTAAAAATATTTCAGGGACATGACAATTATCTTGAAAACCAGCTCTGGGGAATAGAGGGCAAAGGTTAAATTTAAAAGAAATCCAAATATGTTATGGTATAGAAATGGACAGTTAAGGCACTAACAAATCTAACTCTTTGGTGGTGAGGTGATGAGGTTACAGTCAGTGCACAATAGTGTCTACAGTCCCCGATTAGATTAAAGTCAGAGACACATTTGGTTCCTCCCTCCCATCGTGGTCCCACTGCAAGGTAGAATTTAGCAGAATGGTCAATTAACCCTAAATGCAACATCTTCGTGTATAGCAAATGCACTACATTTCAGTAAATTTAACTATAACGGAAGATTGTATTGTTCTGTTGGTAATTTGGGTCTTATCTAGGATGTTACATTTGTTGAATGGCTCGTTTTAAAATTAAACTTAATCTATTTAGGTAACGTCCTTGGAAATTCTCAGAAAACTCACTCTATATTGAGAACAAGTGCTGTTATTTAAGGGGATGGCTTACTGTCATATTCACACATGACAAATTAGTGGAATCTAATAACAAAAGTCCACTCAGCCTTAACCCTAGAACTGCAACCAGTGCTACTTCCATAAAATATATTAATAACTGGAAGATTTACCCGGTGTTGTTCAGGTCCTTAACTCAAGTTTTGATTTCTTCCATTTAAATCATTGTTCTGGAAGGTGGCGATGAGGGGTTCAGTATGCAGGTTTCCTCAGAGAGAGAGGACAATTCCAGCCCCCTCTCACCATAGCAGTTTGGAGTCAGGTGGGATGTGCCTGTGCATGGCCACTGCAGCTGCAGCGGGCACAGCTAGGGAAGGGGTACATGTTCCTCATCTGGGGAACAGATAGACACACAAACAGACAAATTCTGAAATATATAATAGATAGATGTCCCTTTCTCCATCCTTGCCTCTGCTGGTCCAATGGGGTTATAACTGTCCTGGTCCCCATCTCTGGCCCCCTTGCTGCCCCTGTGGTCATTCTACAGTATAACTCCCTCCTACAAGATCCCTCCATTTATATTGTATGAGGAATAATTGAATTCCAGTCATATCCCATTGTCTTGGCACAACCAAGCCTTGCCTTGCTTTAAATTATGATAAAAGGAAGCCGCATACCAAATTTGCTGGTCCTAGGAGGAGTTCTTGAACAAATGGACTCGCAGATAGATGCACATTTCTAAAATATATAGTAAGATCATCTCTAGTATCGATCAATAATTGCATTAAATATTCTATTATCTATCTTTTTTATCTCAGTCCACTGCATCTTGTTTTCAAAACATCAATTCAAAATCTCAGTTTTATAAATGTATGTCTTTTCTCTTTAGGAGCACATTTACAAACTGATGAAAAGTGATTCCTATCCTCGTTTTCTACGATCCAGTGCCTACCAGGAGCTGCTACAGGCCAAGAAAAAGGTATTGGTCCAGCTTATCTTTTTGTTGCCACAGTACTTGGTGATGGTTAAGTTTGCTGCACTACAGGCCTTTCTCTCCTTTGTGAAAGTGCAACTGGATATCTGGTAGGTGACCAGGTTGGCTTATTTAGCGGGTCACATATATACAGTAGTTTGATTAATGTATCCTGCATGTGTGTATGTTTTAATAAGTTAAATTAGCAAACCTTTTTTTAAATTTTACATCCCACATTGTAGCACTCTTTCTGTTACCAAGCAACAGTTAAATAAAGTAAAATACACACAGTATAGTCTTTCAGATTTGCAAATTTGCTAATTCTCCTTTCTTTATTTTTATTTACAAATCCTACAAATTTCTTAAAATTGATCTAATCCACATGAATAACTTCTGATTTAATTTTTTTTTAAAAAGTACTCTTGGATTTCTCTTTTTCTCCCTTTTTTATATGTCTAGTTTTTTATCAGGTTAGGAATCTAATAAGAAAGTGAGATCATGTCTCACTTATGCAAACAAAACATCCTACCCTGATGCATGACACTTGAGATCTGCATAGACAAGCCCCTCAGTGTGAGGAGCAGATTACTTGATACAGGGTCAAAGTTCTGAATACAAGGAACTTCCAAAACACTTAACAATGCAAAACTGTGTAATGAAATTGTTGCTTGTTACAAGTGGGCCTAATTCTACAACTATCCTGAATTCTGAAATCCTATTGCAATCAGCTGAGAACACTGTCCACAAAATCAGTCCCACTACGCTATGCAGTAATAGTAATAAGCTAATTATGATCACAATAATACAAAACTATGAATAATATGACAACCTAAAAATTATGTGGAAGTACTGTATGGGTTTTTTTTCAAATATTAGTTTCTGAACCATCCAATCTGGAGAAATGTTAAAAGTTCCTGAGAGCTGCTACTGTGAATGCAAAGTCCCTTAAGTTTTGCAAATGTCCGTTCTTTAACATAAGAAATGCTCTCCATTTTTTTTTCTTTTCAGTTTTTCTTTTTAATCAAACCAGTATGATCCATATGAGAAAAGTTGTTTTGTCTGGTAGTATAACTGCTTTGCCCGTCCATTGTTATATAAAAGGCATTCATTAGTAGCATCATACCTACTTTTGCTTCTTGATTTGTACATGAGCTTTGTTTTGCAGTCCATCTTTTCATCATTCCTTCTTTTCTGCTCTATTTGTTTCTTGCTCTTCTTCTTTCCCCCCTTTTCTTTTCTTTTCTTTTCTTTTTTATGCCCCCGTTTTTAATTTAAGTTGGAAAACACACTGGATCGTCGAACATCTTTTGAGAAATTCACACGCAATGTGGTAAGTTTGTTACTTTGGCAAACTCATAAGCCTGATCCATGAAACACCCTTCTTCCTACCACCCCCCTAGTCCCTCACTTTTCCTCCTTCTCTATGACAACAGATAAAGTTTTGCATTCATGCAAATTTATAACTTACATAGAAATGACTGATTCGAACTAGGCTTTCCTTACAGCCCTCCTCCAGCTCTCTCTCCTTTTAGGACACATCTACACAGCAGGGCAAAAGTCGAATTAAGATATGTAATTTCAGCTACGTCAGTTGCATAGCGGAAGTCGAAATAGCTTAATTCAGCTTTTGGCACTGTCTACACAGCAGGAAGTCGAAGGACGAACTCTCTTCCTTCAACTTCCTTTACTCCTCATGAAATGAAGGTTACAGGAGTTGGAGTAAGAAGTCCTCCAGCTCAACATTATTTCGAAATAATGGCTTGCTGTGTAGATGCGCATTCCATAATAACACTGCTGTGTAGACATAGCCCTACTGACTAACCTCAGAGAAAACTAGGTTATCACTGTGGCCATACATGGAGGAATGGGCCTGTGGGAGCCATACTGTTTGCATTAAGGAACATAAAATAAATCCTAGAAAATTGAGTTAATTCACTCTTCATTTTTTTATTAAACTAAAGGAACCCCTGGAAATATGTTTCATGCTATTACTTTTCCTAGTGCATCATAAAATGAGACATGCAGAGTCCATCTAGCCCAGCATCCAGACTTCTGAAAGTGGCCAGTACTAGACACTTCAGAAGAACAGAACAGTGCTGTTATCAAGGGATCTATCTCCCGTTGTCCAGTAGCTGGGAATCAGAGGTTCAAGGATACCTGGAGCAATAACGTGTCCTTGGCTAATAGCCATGGATGGATCTATCCCCCATGAACTTTTCTAATTCCTTTTTGCGCCCAGATATAGTTTTGGCCTCCACAGCACCCTGGCAGCACCCTGGCAATGAGTTGACTTCTCATTGTGTGAAGGAGGACTTCCTTATGTTTTTTTTAAACTTGATGCCTATTAATTTCATTGGCTGATCCATGGTGATTCTGTTATATGAAGGAGTAAATAACACTTCACTATTCACTTTCTCCACACCATTCATGATTTTGCAAACCTCTGTTATAGTCCCCCTTAGTCATCTCTTTTCTACGCAGAACAGTGCCACTTTTTAATCTCTCTTCACATGGAAGCTGTTCCACCTCCCTACTGATTTTTGTTGCCCATCTCAGTATCTGGTTCTAATATAACATTTTTGGCAGATGATCAGAATTGCACACAGTATTCAAGCTGTGGATGCACTATGGCTTTATAAACTGTGTTTGATGTGTTTTTTAATGCACTGGCTTCCTTTCTTTTTGCTATTCCTACTTTGTACTAAGTGGGGTCTTTACCAATTTTATAATGGGGGTGTGGGAAGTAATCCATGACAACTATCCCCAACTTCTCTCAAACCCAGTAATGTTTCTCAGATTCAAAGGTGCCCTGTGAGCAGTTGATGCTTATAGTGCACTAGAGGTTTGTTTGAATATTGTTTCAATGACGAAGTACAAACAGCCAAAATTCCTGCCTACACTCTTCAATTCTGCTCCATTCCTTATTCACTGAAAAGTAAGAATTTATTTTTGAAAGATGTTGTAGCAAGGTAATAATGGAATTTGGTGGATTTCCTCTCCACAATTTTTTCACCAGCAACCATGATTTCCACTGATGTCCTCACTTACTGGATTATTTTTATTTGTGCCAGTGTCTTTGGGTCTTTTTTGACATTGTGCAAGTTCAAACTAAAGCATTCAACACATTTATTTTTGTAGGGCAGAAACATCCCTATTTTTCCATGCCATAAAAACTGTACACCAACACTGAGGGCGAGCACTAACCTGTTATGAAAAGAGGTAGAAAGATCTTGGATTATACTCAAGTTTGTCTGCATTGTCTATTGAATTGTGCAGTTCACGCTGCTGTGTGTGTTTGTTGTGGCTTTTGCTGTGACAGTTGGTTAATGGAGCTGTGTGTGTTGAAATGAAAAATATAAAGAGCTTCAGCAAAGACCATGGTTTTTGTTTTTAGTTTCCAGGGGAGGAGTGACCATTCTCATAAACAGCCTCCTGTATAATGAGTTGTTAACTCCTTAAAATAAATTTATTTTATGCTAAACAAAAAAGAAACAAGTCAAGTGAAAGAACAAAGTTCTGTGACACTGTGAGGATATCTCACATGCTAAAAGAAAACAATATTTGTGATATTTTATTGTAAAGGTTTCCTTTAATACATATTGGGTAACTTACCTTGTACATTCAGAAACTAATTTGGATTCAATGGGACAAAGTCACTAAAACTCCAGGTAAAAGTTGTTAGGTAAAACCCACTAAAAAATAAATAAATAGCCATGAAACAAAAACCCTTTTTTTTTGCATGGTGGTGTTGCCACAGCATGTTTCACTGTGATTTGTGTATTGTTTAAAGAGGTTGGTCTATAAAACAACTTTATAACGTAACAGTCATACTTTCTTTCACTGCAATGTGTAATAGAAATTCCTGTCTTATGTAATCAAGACTGCCCTAGTAGAGAAAACATGGGAACAATTACAGCATAATGTGACCTTTGAGAGTGAGACTTTTTCTGACTGGCAACCTATAATAACTAGGATAATTGTGGGAGTTTTGATCCAAAAGTGGCCTTGCTATGGGTACATTGCAAAAGAAATTATTTTAGTCTGCTTAATGCTGTTGAGAAGAAAATTTAGTTGTGTTTGCTAATATATAATATATATTAATATTCTATATTTAGCTGTGATTGCTAATATATAATATATATCAATATTCTATATTAATGTCCTCTATAAAGATAAAATCCAGATGAAATATTAGCTAGAATGTTAAATTTAATGCACAGTAAATAGTTGAAGAATGTTACCCAAAGTAAGTTTTAATTTTTCTGCACTGTATATTCATTCTCATTCATGTATCACCTCTTCCCACTTTTCCTCCTATCCTTCACACCATGTATTAACTTTTGTCTTTTGAACTTTGTCATCCTATACCCCAGAACAAAGGCAGATGCCACAGACAAGGGAAATTTGCATTAAGTAATAATAATTCTAGATAGGGTACGAACAATGGGGCAAAAGTGTGGCTTAAAAGAAAGAATGCCAGGGAAAGACAGTCTGGGCAGGGGGAAAGATTTTAGGATGAATAAAGCACTAAAGAGGAGCAAGTGAGGGGGAAAATGGGTGGAATCAGAAAGTAGTTTGCTAGAATTCAAGAGGATAATAAAGTCTTTCAAACTGTGTGTTTAAGCATTTTGTCTTAATATCTAGGTACTTGATCCTTTGTTTGTTTGTTTGTTTGTGGTTTTTGTTGTTGTTCTGGCTTTCAATCTCCTCATTTCTCCCACCACTAGCAGGATGTAAGAAGGTTCTGGACAGGCAAGGTGCTGAAAATCTGTGTGGTGCCAAAACTACCATTGAAAACAATGGACTCTTGGCAACTTCCAGAATTGGCCCTAAAATGAGAGCTATATATTTGCAATATGATTCTATTGTCTGTGGTATCTTTTTTTTTTTTTTTTTTTTTGGTCAGAAAAACTCAAGTCCACATCACTTTTAAGGGAGGTCCTGTTCATACCAACTGTGTCTGTTGAGATACAAAGGGCCAAATATTCAAACACTGGCATTTCAGCTGCCACTGTGTAGTACACATGCATACACACCAAATAGCAACAATGCAGACTTGTTGCTTCCTAACAGGAGTACCTCTGCACTAGGTTGCTCACTTGCGAGCATAGCTGCCCACATTCATATATACAATGTCCTATTTGTCTGTATACAAAGATAGATTCCAAGCAAAAGTATCTGTTTAGAAATATGGCCTTAATAAGCTCTAGGCATAAACCCATCACCCAGATCATCGGTGACAGTAACTGGATTAGAAACCAGGAGTACTTCCTGATTCAGATCTCAGCCTTGATGGCTAAACAATTTTGTTTTGATATTTTTTCATAAAGACTCCTAATTCTTATATCCTCACTCTCAACAACTTCTGTAGTAGTTTGCATGAGAAAAATACTGAGGGTTAGATTGAGTCACAAGTAATTCTGCTATCTGCTACCACTGAGAACAACCTAATTCCATCCTCTTTGGAACCTCCCTTCAGGTAGTTGAAGGCTGCTATTAAAATCCCCCCCCCCCTTCTCTTCTGCAGACTAAATAAGCCCAGTTCTCTTAGCCTCTTTCCATAAGTCATATGCCCCAACACCCTAATAATTTGTATTGTCCTCTGCTGGACTCTCTCCAATTTGTGCACATCCCTTATGTAGTGGGGACCCCAAAACTGGATAGAATACTCCAGATGTAGACTCACCAGTGCCAAATAATATCTTCCTTTTTTAAAACTCTCCTTTTTGTAGGACTTCAGTAATGTATTTAAATACTATCCCATCTCCTTTCATATATAATAAATAAAGCTGATAGAAACACCCTGACACATTTTGGTGAGAATTAAAAAAAAAAACCTTTTTAAAATATGAAAAATTATAAGAATGCAAGAATTTTTTCTATGACATTTCTAATCATAATTCTTTGGGGACATTTTTATTAAATCAAACTTTTATGAAAAAAATCATATAGAACTTAAATAATGAAATTTCAGTCCACTCTGGTAATTAAGTATAGAAACAAAAAGAAATGTTTCTATATGCTAACTGTTATGTAAAGGATAACACCTAAAATCAAAGGAAGAGAGAAGTCCTTGGAGGACGACTTGTGTTTTTAACTTTTCAAAGAAATATGGGACTCATGAAAGGTGCTAGACTGACAGTCTATTGAAGTTTTCCATCTGTGTCCAGAATAGCTAGCAGTGCCAGTTTCTTCTACCCTGCTGTGCTCAGTGTTCTTGAAGTAAAAATTTAAAGGATTGGCTCTAAGGTGGTTGGCTAGTTTTATTTCCACATCCAGTGAGCTATCTCGCCTCACCGCAGATGCAGACAACACATGTACAAATTTCAGGTTGGTTTGTGCTTTGTTATATGGATATACACCCACAACAAAACAAGACCACCTGACCAAATTCATTCTATGTAGTATACCAAGCAACCAGTATGTGATAGTAACCTTCACTCATTACCTATTCAGTGAAATGTGAACCAGTGACCTTGAGCAGAAAGGTTTTATAGGGCTCAGTGCTAAATCCCTGAGACATCCACTCCTGCTAGGATTATAGGCATATTTACTAGTGTCCCATGATGTTGTTATCTCCAGCTCAATGAGCAAACATTGGAGTACTTCATGCATGAGATGAGAAATTGTCAGGACCATTAAACACAGCCAATTTGCACAATGGCTCAACAAAATATCACTTAGCATTGATGTGTCAAATTGTGGCATACAGAAGGAAATTCAGATTGTTTAAATTGTCCTTTGTACTTAGGGTACATCTAGACTACATTCTTGTTTTGAAAGGAGACATGGAAATTCAGCGCTAATTTGCATATCTTCTTCCAATCGCTTTTTCGAAAGCATTTATTTAAAAAAAGAAAGCAGTTTAGATGCAGTTCTTAAAAAAAAAAAAAACTTTTTCGAAAGAATCCTGCACACCTCATTTTTTGAGGAAGAAGGGTTCTTTCGAAAAGGTTTTTTTTTAAAGAACCACGTCTAAACCGCTTTTTCAAAAAGAACGCTTTCGAAAAAGCAATCGGAAGAAGATATACAAATTAGCACTGAACTTGTTAAAAAAACAAGCCCTCTAAAACCTCTCTCAAAAAAAAGAACGTAGTCTAGACGTACTCTTATTGTACAACTTGTTTTACATCAAATCATTTTAGGGCCATGTTAAACAATAGAGGTGAGATTGTCTTTTATGTTATCATTCTTGAGGGATCTTTGTGGACAAACATATAGGATTCCATATGTAATAATGAAAGGAACTTAATGAAACCTCAGTCATCAGACACTACAAATCTAATACAGAATGATAAGGGATTTTTAAGTTAAACTTATGAAGTATTTTCCCGGAAGCCAATTTTGAGAGGCTAAACATACTAATTTCCTAACCAACAGTTAGAGTTGTTCAGGAGTTTTAAAGTGAATCATTTCTAATTAGAAAACCAAGCTAGCCAATTTGTCAAAACTGAAACATTTTAGGGGAAAGTATTAAATTTCTGAGAGTGTCCTCACATTCCCAAATTATCAAAAAAATCATTCTGACATTTTCTTTAAAAAAATCTAGTTTCTTGCTTCAAACTTTCTTTATATTTCAAAATTGAAGCTAAATATTTTAGGTAAAATATGGCTAGAATCAAAACAAAACATTTCACAGTAATAGAAATGAAGGATTTTGATGACTCTCACCATTTTCAAGGTTTCAAATTTCATCGTGATTCAGGATAGGAAATAGCATTTCCTATCCCATTCAGCCAACAATTAACCAAAATAAAGAGCAGCATCTTATTCCATTTCTAATGAAGTTTTGCCAGAGCAAGGCTCCAGGATTTGCTCCAGAGTACCAAGACCATATTTGTCAGGTTAGGTTTGAGATACAAATGAGTAGAGCCTAGTACTTCAAATATACTTCACCTTATGTAACCTCTGCCTCCATCTTTCCCTGTTGTGTCAGTCTTTAATAATATTTGATTACTCCCCATTGGTCACTGTTGCAGTCTCAGAGGAAAATAAAATCAATTCATAAATCAGTCCCATTTTAAACTCACACACAAACTCTGCGTAAAATTTTGCAAGTGATATAAGAGCACAATTTTGAAAAGTATGCAAGTGATTTTGAAAAGTATGCAAGTGATCTCATACTCTCATGAGACCTTAAGCTTCTGTCACATAAGCAGCTTTTGATAATTTTATCCTCTGAACCTTATTTATTTCCTATTCCACACTTCAACTGTTAA